TATATATATATATATATATATATAACACCAAGTCCCTCGTTCAGATAGTTTTGTTTTGCCAATCTCACGTTTCCCCCAAAATCATTCGGTTGCTCTATTTCCTTGAGAAGAATCTTCCTCCTTATGTAAAGAAACAAAATCTGATTGAAAATATGTCACAAATACCCCAATATTTCAGCCCAGATAACGCTTTTCAGTTAAGACCCCTCCTTGTCGCTATCATATGTGTTATGTTTAGGGCTAATAAAAGCTCACATTGTGTTCTTTCCGTTGGATTTTTTTTTTTCGTTTGCAAATGTTATGCTGAATATCTGGTTCCGCTATCCATGGAGGTAAAGTCGTTTATCACTGAGAACTCAACAAGTATTCTGTAACGGCCTTGGCATCGCGGGACACCCAGGCTGCGTTGTTGCGCAGCCCCTCAATGCTCTGCTGAAAGCTTCGTGTCATACCAAACTTGGACTTCTCATCCAACTTATTCCAAAACGCCTCCATGTCCGCTGCTACGGTTGCATCTGCGGCAGACTCAAGTACCTTCAGTGTGTGGCCCAGAATAAGGCCTGGAAGTTTTTCCCCGATTATGGGCCACATTCGCCGTAACTCTTCGGCGTACGTCTTCACGTTCTCGGTTTTGGAAGCAAGAGCGCCGAATACATAAATGACGTCCTGGCTGCGAACCTTACCAGAGAGGGCAAACTGGAATAGCTCACTCACCACGCTGTCAATTGTCGAGGAAGCAAGAGCACGAAGGTAATGTGTTCGTTCCATCGCCTCTGTTGTTGTCTCCGCAAGTAACTTTACCTCCTCAAATGCGGATCTGCCATGCTTCTTCACATGCACAGCAAACACTGTATAACGTAGATCAGCAGGTATTTTTGTTGTCTGACGCTCATTATACAATTTAATAGCATGTGCGACAGTCTCCGGATCCTCAGCACTTGCGAGTCGATTAAAAAGTGTGGCACGAAGCTGAATAACCCTATGATCATCGTTAGGTTTTGGGGTAAAACCAGTTTTTTTCATAGCATTTGAGTACAGTTTTCGGAAGAAAGTGTTGTGTGCATTCACGGCTTTCTCACCTTGTGTTGTCACTATCGTTTTCAAGTCGACTTCAAAGTCCACGACAGAGCACCATACCGTATAGTCATCCTCATCAGCATACGACGAAAGTAGCTTTAAAGCTTCAACTGTACTACAGCAGCCAGCTCGTGCAAAAGCATGATAATCGGAAATGATACTGAGACGATCGATATTGGAAAGCTTTTTCGCTGCAATAGCAGGGAGCAAATCCTGCAGCAACTCTTTATTTCCATATAAGACGCGACAAAATGCAGATTGATCGCTATTCACTTTTACCCAAGAAGGATGGGGAATATCAATGGATGCTTCCCTCTCTTCAGCAGTAGCGCGCTGAATACCTTTTTCCGGTGTTGTGAAAAGCAAAGGAATCTTCCACACTGTCTCATCTTCAGCTGAAGTGGCGTCACCAGTGGCAAGAAAACGTTTCTGGGTCACCTTTAGGCTTTTTTTGTCTCCCAATGAGGTTACGGTGAGGTAAGGATACCCTTGTTTACCTGTCCAGTACTCTAATATAGGAGCCAGCTGTTTTCCAGCCGCATTGCCCAAAAAATTCCACAAATCTTCCGTCGTTGCATTTCCATAAGCAAAATGTTTCAAATACGCAGACATACCTCTCTGGAAAGCCTCTTCACCGATGTAATTAATAGCCATACGAACAATACTTCCACCTTTGCTGTAACTGATTGCATCAAAAATATCATCGATCTCATTCGCATTTCGAACGTCTACTTCAATTGGGTGAGAACTTCGCAATGAGTCCAACTTGAAGGCGCGTGCGATTTCATCATGCACAAATTGCGTGAAGACTTGCCACTCTGGAAATAACTTGTTTATAGACCAATATTCCATGTAAGTTGCAAATGATTCATTCAGCCAAAGCTCTCTCCACCACTCCATAGTCACAAGGTTGCCAAACCATTGGTGTGCCAATTCGTGAGCCACCACAATAGCAACCCGTTGACGGTGTACAGCGCTTGAGCTTTCATCGCATAAAAGGGCAACTTCACGATAAGTGATAAGACCCCAATTTTCCATCGCACCTGCAGCAAAGTCTGGTATAGCAAGAAGATCCACCTTGGGCAATATATAATTGGATTCGAAGAATTGCTCATAAAGTGGTAAAACTCTGCAAGCAACATCAAGAGCAAAAGAAGCTTGTGATTTTTTTCCTTCTGGTGTAAAAACACGCACAAGTGTTTCTTCAGACTGTCCTTTTTCCACCTTATGTGTCTTCTTGATGCCCCTCTCAATACACTCAAATTCTCCAATTGTCCAAGCGAGAAGATATGTTGACATCTTGGGTGTAGGCTCGAAAGACCAGCGGGTCTTAGAACCTAGGTCTTCCTTCTGGCAATGTGGCATGTTGGAAAGCACCAACATACTTGAAGGTGCGGTAATAACCACCTCAAATACTGCTTTCACTGCTGGTTCGTCCCAACAAGGAAGAGCACGACGTGCATCCACAGCTTCAAACTGTGTAGTTCCCATGTAGGCGTCCTTTCCATTGACTGTGTATTTACTCCTGTAGAACCCTGCAAGTTTGTCGTTTATAGCGCCTGTATAGTCAATAGATAGTATGGCTTCCCCAATAAAACCTTTTTGCAGAGGAAATGTTGCCTTCATTTCAGGTTCGTTCAGCACAATTGCTTCGATAGGGACCTGCTCCTCAGGAGATAGATCACTCGCGGGCTTGAGCGTCACCTTGACGAAAGTCAATTCGTTGTAGTTGAGTGTTATGCTATTTTGGTGTTGTTTTGCGACAATCTTTATGTCGACATGACCTGCGAACAAAAACGTATCAAAATCCGGCAAAATGCTCACTTTATAGTGCTGAGGTATGGGATCAGCGGGAAGAACATTCCGTGAGTGTACCATCTGTTTTTGTTTTCTTTTCTTTTTAAATTTGTTTGTCCTGTGGTTGTGTATCTCTCTAGTGGGGTATGGGAAATAAAATGTGAGATAAAATCATATATAGAGAAATTTATGGATATTCATCAGCAGACGATAGTTACTCACTGATATCCAGTGATAGATGAAAAACTAACTACCATTAAGAGTCCATTTCTCTAGAAGAAGTACACCACTGTGAATTCAGGACTTTGTTGCACCACAGGTTTAATAATAATAATAATAATAATAATAATAATAATAATAATAACAAAACAACACTAACACCAAATCATCTAGCACAATATTGAACAAACAGTAAGAGTCCCTGTGGCTTTGATTAAATACGCATCTCAATTAAAGACGAAATAGCAAAACACCCAGTTTACTGGCCATCTGTTAAACAACAAAATAAGCGAGTAGTTTCAGGGCATCATACACACAAACACACACACACACACAAAAAAAAAAAAACACGCATGAA